GAACCTAACGCTCTCTCCTCCTGGACAGAACTCTCACTGGACCTGACTTCCCCGCAGAGAGGTCTCTGGAGGAAGTATCATATTTTAAATAAAGACTACGTATAATAACATCTTTCAACCATGCCTTGGGGTGAGGGAAAAGGCCGTGAGGGATCTGAACGTGAACATCCACAAAGAACAGAAGAGCTAGGACAGCTCATAATGGTTTCATCCATTTTATCCCTTGGTTCAGCAAAGTATCACCCCCCTAATTTTTTATCCTTTGTTCTCCAGGTTTTTTTTTCTTTTCTTTTCTTTTCTTTTTTTTTTTTTTTTTTTAGGATTAACGCTTGTTTTCCTCCAAAGTCCCATTTATCTTTCTAGATCTCATCTCACCATCGGATATTACCAAATCGTGCTTTTTATTATCTAAAAGTCCTATTTTGTACTTCTTCAACCCACCATTCTTTTTTCTAACGACTGTAACTTCTGTGTTTCCTTATCTGTCATTCATCTGTTATTGCCCAGCGCACTACTACATAGTAGACATTCAGGCAATGTTTACCCGAACCCTCCCACCCACCTCTTGCTTGTGAAACAAACACTTCATGACCTCTTCCCTAAAATTTCCACCTCTTTCCACAGCAAACAGAAATTTAATTCTCAAAGCTCCCCATTCTTAGCCCCTCTTACGTCCTTCTTGTGTCCTTGACCATCTTAGCTCTGCAGTTTTATCTTTCCTTTCTTCCCTTATCCTGAGGCATCCTTCAACAGTGCCATTCAAGATAAGTGTGTGACTTGGGGATAGAGCCAAGTCATAAAACCCCTTTACTCTTCATCTACATACACACACAGCTGAGGAAGAAGAATCTCCCTTTGGTCCACCAAAATTCAACTTGTTCCAGTATAGTGCAGGACATAATTGATCCCTGGGGATAAGACATTTCCAGTCTTTACTGGAGGACGTTACAAATGAGGAATCAACTACTTAGCAGGCAGAGAAAGAGTATGGTTCGGTGTTTTAAGTCACTTGGAAGTGACTTAATTAAGGGTTAACATTCAAGTAGTCATCATTTACTGAAGAACGTGACTCTATCATTGGAGATGACAGGACTGCAAAAATAGGGAACAAAGGAAAATAAACACTCCTACAGCGAACCTCAATTTTTAGCCGAAGTTATCAAGCCTGGAAGAATCACCAAAAATTTTCAAGTGACTGATATCCTGTACACTCAAAGATTCTTAAGTTTTGACTTCCTATTCCTCTAGACCAGGGATTGGAAAATTATGGGGCACACACTCACTGCCTGTTTTGGTATGTCCCATGAGCTAAGAGTATTTTTTTTTTTTTTTTACATTTTTAAATGGGTGAAAAACAATCAAAAGAATATTTTGTGTTGTGAGAATTAATATGAAATTCAAATTTCAGTGTCCACAAATAGAGTTTTAAGGGCTCATAGCCAGTCATCATTTATGTATTACCTATGGATCCATCTGCACTGTAACAGCAGAGCTGAATAGATGTTAACAGAGACTGTAGGACCAGGAAAGCCTAAAATATTTGCTATCTGGCCCTTTACAGAAAAAGTGTGCTGATCTGTGCTCCAAACTGTCCAGTAGAACTTTCTGCAATGATGGAAATGTTCTATATTTATGCCCTCCAGTTTAGAAGCCACTAGCCCCATGTGACTGTTTGGGCCCTTGAAATATGGTTAATGTGACTGAAGAACTGAATTCTTAATTTTATTTAATTTAAATAACCACATGTGACTAATGGCTACCATATTAAACAGTACAGCTCTAGACTCTTGTCAAATCTTATGTACTGACATTTTTTTTGCCCCTTGTGCCAACATCTTATTCCCTTCCTATGTCACAACTTCATATGGATTCTCAGTCCCTCCCATCCACCCCCCATCGCCCTATTTATCTGACTCCAAACTAGGATGCCACACTTACTAGGTTTTCTTTCTGGGCTCTCCATTGTCACAACTGAAATCTGAAATCTGATCAGTTTACCAAGTTTCACCCCATGAATTAATCCACATTATGTGCACACATATAAGTGGACAGACATTTACACAAGTTTCTTTGTGTCAGATGGAACTGTGGCTATGGTCTTTCTTCTCTGCATGAGAGAAGTAGAAAAGCCTTCCACATGCTGGATCCCTTGCTGCTGGTGTCTGTGATATGGATCACCTCCCTCCAAACACATTCACAGAAGCTGAGAACAGCAGATGTGTACTTGCTATTTGAATCTCAAGGAAAAAAAAATCCTTCATCACAGGCCTTTCTTTCCTCCCCCTAGGCCTAATAAACTGAAGTTAGTTGATTTCTCTAGTTTAATAGATGCTTGCTTTTTTTACTGGTCTTTTCTAGCTGGGCAAGAGAACAACCCCAACACTGTCTCAATCTTGGCTAGGAGTTCTAGCAAAAGCATTAAAAAAAATTTACCAAATAAATGAAATCCATATAAATGGGCTTTAGTATAGACAGCAGTTAAAATCGAAAGAGATTAAGGGTTATAACTCATAAAAACCCTAACTTTGTAATTTTTGTAAAAATAATCTTCAAAGTCTAAGTTTTTCACAGCTACTCCCTAGGAAAAAATGGGTTTCTGTACACTTCCAGATTGAAAAAAGGGGACACCTAGTTCTTTCTCTAGATTAGCTATACCAAGCAAAAAAAACCCCCTTACTCCAATCCAAACATCTGACTGGAAAGTCAAAGCCTCCTAAGTCCTGACAGAGAAAGTATCTTGTTTCATGTATCTCCCACTCTGAGCTTACATAATTGAGACAGGACCCTGTCTAGAAAAGCAAAAACAAAAAACACTAAACCCTTCAGGTACTATACACATTGAGAGCCACTGAACCCAACCATCCAAAAGGGGGCGTAGATACTTAGGCTGCAAAAGAAAACCAGCTCAGAAATGTGAAACTTCCCTCAGGCCAAGCTGTCCCAGAGTTAACAGGGTCAGTGCAAAGTGTTGTAAAGCACTGAAAGGCAATTCCTGGGCGAGTTTGTACTCAGGATGCTAAGAATTTCCACTAGGCTTTAAATTATGCTATTCATCACTGAGCAACTGACGGCCATCTACCCCCAAGTCTCTCCCACACTTCCTCCCGAGTGTCCCACAAATAAAAGAGAGACTTTACACCACCAACCACCACGTGAACTAAAAGGCTTTCACAGTCTAACCATGAAAAGAAGTTTCCAAGTTACTCTGCCATTTACTCATGTGGCACCAGCTGCATATTTTGGATGCTGAGGTGGGTTCTTGTAAATCTGTAATGTTCTTGTAAACTTTCTTATCACAGCACACAAAATGGTTGTATAACCTGAACTCTTGCAGCTCCTGATGTTTTTCTTTAGGTGTACACACACAATCTACCCAGGTGAAAAAAAATCAATCCAGACTCCTCTGTGCTTGAGCTGTCATTCACATAAAAAGGCAGGTAACTTTTTGTGGTTGTTGTTTCCTGGGTCCTTCACCTCCTGCCTTTTGGTTTTATTTTGGTACTCAGAAAACGAGACAATTCCAGTGCAGAATTCAAGATATTACTGCTTGGTAAACTATTAACACAGTGTGGCTTCATTAATAATATTAGGGTCTTCAGGAGACCAGAATGAGACTTTTTTTCCCTCTAAAGGAGTACCATTAGCTGTCCTTTCCATTTTCTCTACAGAAGTTGAGCAGGAAAAGAAAGAGAATACTGCATATTTGCATTACCAGAACAAGAATCGGGTAGGTTTTCCCTGGGAATCCAAAGTGATCAGGCCCCCACAAAACCAGTGCCTAGAGCTATGCAACAAGCAGAGTTCACAGTTGAGTGAACATCAATGCATATGAGCGGAGGCATTTCAATGCAAATACATGCTGAATATGAAGGATTAAAGAAAGGGGAAATTAATCTTTTTCATAACACAGGGCACTTTTTTTTTCTCTCCTGCGTGCTCTCTTTTTTAAGTCATGCACACAACTGCTGGAGGGAATCCAACTTCCCTAGTGTGGTGGTGGTGCTTTATAAAAAGCAGAACATACACATTTAAGACCATGAATTTCCTGAGGATGCCAGCAACTGAGATTCTGACAGCTCTGCTGAACAGACTCAGAAAAAAAGTGTTTCACTAAGTAGGGCCAGACTGATGAGTAAAAAATCTCATTTCAAATCAACCTATTTTTTCAAAGCTCATAGCTTCCTGAGGTGTGATGGTTTAAAAGGTTGGGTTTCAGCATTTGGGGGTATATGAATACATTTACTGAAGGGACTTTATTTTTTAGTTTGCTTCTAATTGTCCCATCTAAGTGATGCTTTTGCAATACCCACAAAATAAATAGGGCAGATTCATGTTGCTTGAGCAAGTAGCTCTCTCTTCTCCCAGTCTGATCTTCTTATGTCCTAACATCTCAAACCAAAGAACAAAGTGGCAGCACCTTTTCAGGTTATCCCTTAAAAAAAAAAAAAAAAAAAATCTGCCAATGAAGGTTATTCAGCTTTTGAAGACTGTTCACTTCAAGACATGTTGGACTAGAGCAAAAAACTTGTTAAAACCCTTTCTGTCCCATCACAGGTATGCATTAAACATAGGATTCCTCAAACACCTTAATACTCTAACCAGGCTATTACTTTGAAAAGAAACTTTAAAATTCAAGTGGTCTCTCAAAAAAATTGTTAACCTTTGCTAAGAAAGTTCCCAATCTCAAATCCAAGCTTCAGAAAGGAAAGTAATTTCCAACTTGTTCTTTTCTGATACCATTTTGAGAAAAATGTCAAAGACCTAGAATTTTTAAAATAGCATTTTATAAATAATGTATTCAAGGATTTTGACCTACTACATAAAGTAAGAATCCCACTCTTTAAGAAAAATATACAGATTTAGGTAAGAGTCTAAATTCTCAAAGATTCAAGCCTGATGCCAAGCCTTTAGATTTCTAATGCTTCAATTCCAAAGGACCAGTGGATAGCAATTTTAGTACACAAAACTCCACTATGCTGTATAGCTCCTTTTCTCTTGGGTCAGACAGCTTTATTCTGCTTCATTAACCCCTTCTTTGCTCCTTGATGGATCTTGGAATCCAGTTTCCCTGTAAAGGAGAAAAAGAAGCCTCATTATTTATTTTTTATATTTGCAATGCAAATCTTTCCTGGCCTCCCAGGTCTTCTGGTTCCTGTTTTCCTGTCACATTCAATTATCTTGCTTCAGGACTTAGACACTTTCAAACTTCAGAGTTTCATTCTGTAAGAATGAGGAAGCAGTGGGAACACTGTTTAAGGACACACAAATGTGGAGACACACACACACACACACACACACACACACACACACGATGAGTATTCATTCGCCTAAAGAATCTAAATCGTTAATATTTCTAATTTTGTAGCTAGAAGAAAAGAAACAACACGTTTTTCAGGAGGTCTCATGCTAAGGCAAGTTTGAAAAGAATACACATATATAATAAAGGAAGGCATTTCACACAGTGGGAAACTCATTCCTCTGACCTGTTAACTGGCTGAGCATAATGCATGAACCTCCCTCGCAGTGAGAAAAGCAGTTCAGTTCACCCCTTTGCTGCCTCAGACTTAATAGGGGGAGTGACCTGAAACAGTGGAGTAGAATCCACATGAATGGTTTACTGACAAAGGGCCCCTATCACCAGCTAAGAAGGGCAAAGGTCATAGGCTGTATGACTCTTCTAAGTGTTAAAGTTAGAAAACAAGCAACCTTCCTGTCCCAGGTGACCCTAATGAGAGGTACTTTACTGATGTGGTCCCTGACCTCTGACTCCTCAGATCTACCAGGACGGTTTGGTTCAGTGGTAGCAGCCTTAGGAGCCATCCATCTCATGCATGAAAACAATCTTAACAAAGTTCCTGTCTGTCTTACACATTGATTTCTCCCACAAAGAGTCTCACTTAAGTCAACAGTGATACTGGCACTGAACTGAAACAGAAACAGGTCAGTTTAGCCTCAGCATTACAAAAAAAAAAAAAAAAAAAAAAAAAAAAAAAAAAAAAAAAGATTAACAAACAAGGAGCTTCCCTCTAAGGCAAGCCAGGTGTACTACAGCCCACACCCATAACTGCCCCCCCCCCACATGCTGTCATTTTCATTTGTTATAGCAATCAGGTGTACAAGAAAGAGCAATGGAATAGAAGTCAGGAGACTCGGGTGCTAGTCCATCCCTCTGTGTTATTAACTAGCTGTAAAACCTGGGGCAAGTCATTTAGTCTCTCTAGACTTTAATACTCTCACTTGTCCAACTAAGAATACATGTCTTGACTACTGCAAAAGATTGTGAGAAAATAACCTCAGGGCGCCTGCGTGACTTAATTTCAGCTCAGGTCATGATCCCAGGGTCGTGGAATTGAGCCTCTTATTGAGCACCACCTACACGGAGCATGGAACCTGCTTAACACTCTCATTCTCTCTCTCTCTTGCTCTCTCTCTCTCTCTCCCCCTCTGCCCATCTCCCCCCACTCATGCTCTCTCTCTCTCTCAAATAAAATTAAAAAAAAAAATTAAAAATAACGTCATCCTAGTTTCCCTTTTTAAGTTTTCTTAAGTTTTGTTTTCTTTTTCTCCTCATCTCTCTACGGGTATACCTGTCTCTGGAATAACATTACTTCTTTTTCTGGGCTTCCTCAGAAACCATCAGTAAGCAATACCCTGAATGCTATCCACTAGCATTGTCACAATGCTGTTGATTTTAATTTGGGCTTTACAGCACAGAGTATTCCCAGGGATTTAGGAGTCTTTCATCCCCCAGGCTGCCCAGCTGGAAATCCGAAAATGTGCCAGCAATCTGGCAAAATGCCCTACTACAAGGCAAGTTTGCCTTTATATTCCTAACGCTACCATAGTGAGCATCAAATGGTAGGTGCTCGGTAAATGTGTTCATCAAATGAATTAAACAAAGATGGCAAGGCAGACATTACAAATTCGAAAACCTTTGCACTGTAGGGACTAAGTAACCAAAATTAGCAGATATCAGATAAACACTAAGAGTATCCATTGAAAAGGTGGTGGTACCAGAAGCATAAGGAAGTACTGCATCTCACTCAACTTTTTAGGACAAGCTAGGACAGAATTCAGAATCCCACTTAGGACTTCACACTTCTAGTTCTCTAGTCCCTGAGACTACCTAGCTGTATGTGAGGAAGTCACCTAGTCACTCTTGTTCTCAGCTTTTTCTATGCCAAGAGGAAATTGGACTATGTTGTACAGGAGGATTCTTCCAGCTCTATGATATTGTGCCCTAAAAATGAAATGTGATTAGAATAATTTGTTTCTGAGGCAATCTGATAAAGTGCAAAGAGCAGGAAAATCAGAGACAGAAAGATGTGAGCAAAATACAACTTCTATAAACCTATTTACTCAACTGAAAAGTGAAAGGAGTAAAAAATTCCTAACTTACAAAGTTATTGAGAGAATTACAGCTAACATTAAGTGCTTTCTAAATACCAAGCACTATGCTGTTTTTTAATATACATTAAGTCATTTAATCCAATAACTAATTGAAATACTATATGTTAAAATGCTTCATAAACTCAAAATTCTCTGAAAAAGTAAGGGTAGTCATATTTATGCTGAGGCTTGGGAGTATGTTTCTTACTTATGGTCTCAGTTTACCTTACAACTCTAAGCAAGTCTATTAACTATATGTATTTCAGATTCCTCTTGTAAAAAAAAGAGCCATTACCTTCTTGACACCCTCAAAGCTTTACTGTCTAAGAACATTCCAAGTATGATCTTTGGAAAACTCCAATCTGATTGTGAAAGCCCTCAAGTGAGACCAGCTCAGGTAAGATCAACCCTATGAAGCAAAGCCCTCAATGGATAGGCAAACTAATCCCTGGCTTCAGGGATGATGTCATAAAATGGAAAATAGGAGGAAGGAGATATAAAGGAAGTAGGACTTCTGGAGCATTCCCAGGGATTCAGAAATTCTTTCATCCCCTAGACTGCCTAAGAAAACTATACATGTGCCAGCAATCTGTAAGCTCCTTATAAGTAAGGACTTCTTTACATCCCTAACATCTACCACAGTGACTGCCAACAGTGGCCAGCTTAGGCCAGTTGCAGGCAATAAAGGCAAGGGACTGGGGCCTCTTGCACGAAGAAGCAGTCATCACAGTTCCCCTAAGATGGCAGGAATTCTGAACTAGTTCTAGTTCAGCCTCATCTTTCAAGACTTGGGATCTGGACAGTTAACTACAGTTACATACAGTACACTCTTTTAAAAGCAGAGTGGCTGGGGCGCCTGGGTGGCGCAGTCGGTTAAGCGTCCGACTTCAGCCAGGTCACGATCTCGCGGTCCGTGAGTTCGAGCCCCGCGTCGGGCTCTGGGCTGGTGGCTCGGAGCCTGGAGCCTGTTTCCGATTCTGTGTCTCCCTCTCTCTCTGCCCCTCCCCCGTTCATGCTCTGTCTCTCTCTGTCCCAAAAATAAATAAAAACGTTGAAAAAAAAATTTAAAAAAAAATAAAAAATAAAAATAAATAAATAAAAGCAGAGTGGTAATGCTTAATTTCTGTATTTCTCCAATATTTTTACATTTAATACCTACAGCATCTCAGTGTTAACCACATCCTCAATCATGGTGCCTAAGGAAAATCAAATGCATGGGCAGCAAATGGACAAGAAGTTAAAAGGGGAAAGAGTATTTGTCATCAATTGATATAACTCTCCTAGGGATTTCCACATGCTTTGCATAACATATAAGGCAGTACTTAAATGCATTTATAGAACAAGTAGTTCATTTAATGTAAAAAGATTTCCTTTGTCTCTTTGAGCATTTAACCTACTCTATTATACTGTTTTGCATTTCCTAATTTGAGCAGACACACAGCCAAATGATATCATATTACACACTGTACTTTTCTGAATGATTTCAAGAAACGGAATTATCCCCAGGTCAAGCAAGCTCAAGTTTATGTGTCCAAAAGCATAAACCAAAATATATGCCTTTACTTCCAGTTATGGAGTGAATAAGTCATGGGAATAAAAGGTACAGCATAGAGAACATAGTCAATGATATCATATTAGTATTATATGGTGACAGATGGTAGCCACACTTGTGATGAGCAGAGCATAATGTATAGGGATGTTGAATCACTATGTTGTAAACTTGAAACTAATGTAACATTGTTGGTCAACTATAGTCAAAAAACTAAAAAATGTATACATACCTTTAAATTTAAGGCATACACACACACACACACACACACACAGAGGGTACAGCAGGTAAATAGGTTGTATTCTAAAAGCTTATTTGCAAGTCAGAGTTTGGAACTTGGAACATGTCTCATAGAACTAATCTATAAAAGATTCCTAAACCATCCTACAAAACAAAAACAAGAACAAAAACATTTAAGCCAAAGCACTATACTTGAAGGAGAGTATTATTAATATTATGGACCTTTACCATTTAGTGGAACAATATAGCTAGAAGAAAATGTGAAGCATTACAGATTAACAGCCAACTATGTATTTTCCCCTGTGGCAGTGAGAGTAAAGACTTTTTCCAGCTGTAAGCTACTGAAGGTGGCTCCTTTGGACTACAAGAAGAAAGTTCTGGCAGAGTCTAAGATTTTAAGAGATGGTAAAGAGGAATGAAGGATGAAGGAATGAAGAGTTACAGGGAATAGAAACTTCACACCAAACTATATCCTCAGGTAGGATGGTTCCCTTTCAATAGAATTTTTTTTTCCAGGGTGCCTGGCTGGCTCAGTCGGTAGTACATATGACCCTTAATGTCACGGTCACGAGTTCAAGCCCCACGTTGGGTGTGGAACCTAAAGAATTTTTTTTTTTTCTGATGCACAAAGGGATTGGTCACCCATTCTTTCATTTTTTCTCTTTAAATTTTGCTTATTTCTTTTTTTTTTCAACGTTTATTTATTTTTGGGACAGAGAGAGACAGAGCATGAACGGGGGAGGGGCAGAGAGAGAGGGAGACACAGAATCGGAAACAGGCTCCAGGCTCTGAGCCATCAGCCCAGAGCCCGACGCGGGGCTCGAACTCACAGACCGCGAGATCGTGACCTGGCTGAAGTCGGACGCTTAACCGACTGCGCCACCCAGGCGCCCCAAATTTCGCTTATTTCTGACTGATGTTTCACTTTGGCCTAACAAGGAAGAAGCTGCGGTCTCACAATTTCTACCTGAAACAAGTAGACAGCCCATTTGGCTTTTTAAAGCTTTTAACTACAATCGGGAAAGGACAGAAGGTTACTAAAGCTTTCCTCTAAGAGCATCATTCCTCCCCACCCCTCTACCCCCCACCCCCATTAAACCTTATTGAGAAAAACAGAGGCCATATATGTAGTGAAAGTAGGTCTCTGGGTAGAGAAAGTACTGGAGTAAAACATTTCACAGAAATATCTAAACTGTTTACAGAGAACATTTTCTCACAGATTAAGCAGCAGGTAAAAACCAAGATAGGGGAGGAAGCTAAGAAAAGGTTATGGGGACTAAAGATCAAGTAGCACTGGGTATGGGAGAAAAGACCTAAAATGTTTTCCTGCTACCACCAGTGCTGATATCAGTGCCTAGAATAAGGTGAGAATGGAACAGGGAGGGATAGAATGCCACAACCAAAAAAGAGGGACAAGAGAGAGATTTAAATACTAAATAGCGGAAGAGTGCCTGGCTGGCTTAGTAGGTAGAGCATGTGACTCTTGATCTTGGGGTTGTGAGTTCAAGCCCCACTTTGAGTCTACAGATTACTTAAAAATAAAATCTTGGGGCACCTGGGTGGCTCAGAATGTTAAACATCCGACTCTTGATTTCAGCTGATGTCATGATCTCACAGTTTGTGGGATCAAGCTCCAAGTTGGCCTCTGTGCTGACAGTGCTGAGCCTGCTTGGGAGTCTCTCTTTCCCTCTCTCTCTGTCCCTCCCCAGCTTGCACTGGCTCATGCTCATTCTCTCTCTCTCTCTCTCTCTCAAAATAAACTTTATGGGGCGCCTGGGTGGCTCAGTCGGTTGAGCATTTGACTTCAGCTCAGGTCATGATCTCACGGTTCGTGAGTTCAAGCCCCACGTCGGGCTCTGTGCTGACAGCTCAGAGATTGGAGCCTGCTTCAGATTCTGTTTCTCCCTCTCTCTGCCACTCCCCTGCTCACTCTCTATCAAAAATAAACATTAAAAAAAATTAAAAATAAACTTTAAAAAAATAAATAAAATCTTTAGAAAATAATGATGAGATCGATCAATCAATCAATCCTAAATAGTGGAGAGGAAGAAAAAAGTTTCCAGGGCCACTTGGCAACCAGCTGGGATAGTCTGAGTTGAATAATATGTAGAAGTCAAGGGCAACTTATGTTCAGATTTTCTGATATATAGGAATCTAAGGAACATATGTCTCATAAATCATAAGAGTTGCCTGAATTTTGTGATGAATATACATTAATCTAAATTCACAGTCCAAGCATCTTATTTTGTGATCGTAAGCAGTATTACTCAAAGTGTAGTCAGCTGAGCAACAGCATCAGTATCACTTGGAAGAAGGCCCAGGAACCTATGTTTTAACAGCTCTCTAGGTGATTTTTATTTGCAGTACAGTTTGAGAAGTACTTCTCTATAGAACAGATTTATCAAATGGCTAGTTGGTCCCCCAGGTACAGTGTGAGGTAGAATTGTGCACAACCTAAGACAATGCATGCCCCCAAATTATCCAGTTCACAGAACGGGAAAGCAGTGTCACAGAGGCACAAAATAGTAACTGATGTGAGCAAATGGGACAGTTTCTGAGGTTGTTTTTATTTATTTTATTTTATTTTATTTTTTAATGTTTGAGAGAGCGTGCATGAAAGTGGGGGAGGGGCAAACAGAGTGGGGAGGGAGAGAATCTGAAGCAGGCTCATCACTGTCAGCACAGAGCCTTACTCGGGGCTACATGCCATGAACTGCATTTGCATTATAAGATCATGACCTGAGCTGAAATTAAGAGTCAAGACACTTAACCAACTGAGCCACCCAGGCGCCCCAAGGTTGTTTTTAAAAATAAGTTAGGCAGAAAGACTACCACTATGTATTTCCTGAGATAGCTTTGAAACAGAAGAGGCTGAGGTAGGACTAGACAGAGGAAGAGAAGTTAGTAGTAGTAGAAGAGTTAGAGATTGAAAAAGTAAAGTCAACAAAAAGTGATTAAGACGTGAATATGCAAGGGTGCCTGGGTGGCTCAGTTGGTTGAGCGTCCAACTCTTGGTTTCAGCTCAGGTCACCATCTCAAGTTTTGTGAGTTTAAGCCCCACATCGGGCTCTATGCTGGCAGTGTGGAGCCTGCTTGGGATTCTCTGTCTCCCTCTCTCTATGCCCCTCCCTCACTCTCACTGTCTCTGTCTCTCTCAGGATAAATAAACTTCTAAAAATAAAATAAAAAGAAGTGAATATGCAGGAATTCAAAGAGGGTACTATAATCATAAATACATAAAGCAAAAGTTACAGAAAAAATAAATCATCGAGAGGTTTCAAAAAGAGGGCTAGGTTAGAGCTTTAGGAACCAGTAATCAAGGGCAAATTGGGAAGTGGAGCCTCCAAAACACTCAAAAAATAGACACACAAACTTCAGTCTTATTCTTGAAGACTGAAGAACAATGAATAAAGGTCATTATTGCCATTGGCATTGGCTTACTACTTCCTTTAATGAGCAGTGCAGCAGAGCAGAGCATACTCTTTTGGCTGACAAATGAGGATTTTAAATGTAATGGGATCTTAAATGCAAGTTTAGAGTGATTCACTAGCATACCATTAACTGTGGATCAACGTACACTTTGGTAAGGCTATACTGTAGTTAACTTAACATTAAAGTTATCACTAAATATAATCATATTAACCCTCCAATACTTGACATGCCATAAAACAGAGGAAGAAGAGATTTTTAAAAAGTTGAGCAAGTGAGACACAAGACACAAAGAAAAGAAAATTAGACCATCAAAGTTTGTGACTTACAGATTTTTGGATTTCCTTTAATAGGAAACTTCACAATCATTTCCTGGGGATTTGTGCAGATGAAAACAAATGGAGAATCAGATTCTTGACTCATGTCTGGATACTGTGAAATATAAAAATAACAAGTTCAGACTAGTTGGGACAAATTTTGAATTTCAAGGAGATTAAAGGATGTCCCAGATTTCACCTCAACATTCTGATGATAGCACTCTCCATTTCAGTCAGGTAAAGAGGATTATGCTTAGCAAGCAAGAACAAACCTTCACCTTTCCCCAGGCCTTAGCACAGTGGTCTTATGCAATCTATTGCCTGCCATTTCTGACTTCCTCTAATGGGAACTTCTTTAAAAAAGAATACCTGATATCTTCCCAGAAGAAACAAAACTGACTGTTCTTTTTCTTTTTTTAAGTTTATTTATTTAAGTAATCTCTACATACAACGTGGGGCTCGAACCCACAAACCTGAGATCAAGAAAAAACTGTTCTTTTAACATAAGTGACTGAGAGTTGGGAGAGTCACAGGTCTCCTTCTGGAACATCGGGCACCCCCTAGGTTAACTCAAGTAAAACACTGGAAGATTTAAGAAAAATAGAACATTTGTGGAAATTCTGCAAGAAATAATCAACAGAGCCCTTCTTTCACTAAAAGGAAGGAAGATGATTCATTCTGAAAGGTATGAACATGCAAAAGCTGTTTTGCTGGATGCATTCCAGACTTACTTAGGGTGAAAAGGTAACTGGTAGAGCAATTCTGAAAATTATTTAGAAGCCTCCTTTGGATCTCTCATCACAAATCTGTGTGAATACTTAGGACTTGTATTCCTTCTGCAAAGACAGACACAGAACCTGGAGTAAGACTATGCTGGCCACATAATTACAATTTAAGGAACAACTGAGGGTTGGCAGAAAGTGCTCTCTAGCAATGCCCAACTGATTTGTTGTTTCATTATTTCCTACCTTGGGATGTCTTGTATTTAGCATGTTTGACAAATATGACTCATAGGCTGACTACAACTATGGGTCAGACTTCATTCCCAGAGGAGCCTTTCTCCTAGTAGCTACCATCCTAGGTACGCACTTATTTTCCTCTCTTAGTCACCTGCTAAGATATACCCTCTAAAGACCTAAGGCTCTAAAGTAGAAATGGAGGTTTCAGTAAAATAAGAAAATTCTAATTTCTCTGTAACTAGTGGAAGCATAAACAGTTAAAACTTCTTTACTGACCACTTGACCACTCTGTCTTAGGTGGTAGGTAACGCTATGGAGAAAACAGGAATTTTAGCAGCTTTTGGTCCTGCCCACATACCATGGCTTTCAGTGTGCGACAGGTGTGGCATGTACTTTGATAAAACATAGCTTAATATCAAGCATCAGACACAATTATATTCTGAGGCAGGATCAAAATGTTCATGGCAGAAAAGAAAGACTGAAGATGAGAAGGAAAATCCTCTTCTTTCCTTATCCCCTGGATCTTTAGAACTCAAAGAAAAGCAGGTTCCAGCTGTTACTGCTGAGGTGCTTTGGCGCGAATAAAACCAGAGGCTGCCATCAAGATCTTTCAACCTAATTCTACAGAGGGCAAAACAGCAGCAGTCACAATTTCCATCTCCAATTTTCTTCCTCTCCCCTCTGTGTCTTAGAGTATTGAGGCAGAGGACAGGCTGCCAGGACCTCATGGCTCTGCTTTTCTGGAACTACAAGCTATTTCAGTCATCCTCTCCTCTTTTTCCTGCATCAATAAATGTTCCCTCTCTACTGAACCAATCCCATTAACAAACATAACTTCTGTAATGTCTGCCATAAAGCAAAAACTCTCCAGATCTCGCATTCTCAAGCTACTGCCCCATTTCTGATTCTCTTTACAACAAAATTCATTAAGAGATTGTCTGTGCTCTCTGCTTCAAATTTGTCTGTTTTTTTCTTGAATTCACTATAAACAGACTTTCACTCCCATCACTCCACCAAAATCATTCTTCATCAACTAAAGGTCATTGTTCACTTCCATGTTACTAAATCAAATGGTCACTTTTTCAGTTCTCATCTTAATTGATCTATTTGTAGAATCTGACAGAATTCTTCTCTCCCCCCTTCTTGAACACATTTCTCACTTGGCTTCCAGGATATCATTCTCTTCCTGGTTTTGCTATTTTACTGATTGCTCATTTCCCCATCCTTTAAATGTTGGGAGTGCCTCAGGGGTCAGGCCTCAGACCTCTTCTCTCTCTACATTCACAACCTTGGGGATTTCCTTCAATCTCAAGAGTTAAAAAATAAGGTCCTGAATTTCTAACTACGAGAGGTGATGGATGTTAATTAAATTTATTGTGGTAATCATTTTGCAACATATATATGTATCAAATCCTTCTGCTGTACACCCTACACTAATACAATGTTATGTGTCAATTATATCTCAATAAAACTGGGGAAAAAATGAGGTCCTGAAAGTAAAAACCTAAACCACAATGAGATACTAGTTCATGCTCAAGAAATGACTACAATAAAACAAAATAAAACAAAAACAAAAAACATGGAAAATAACAAGTGCTACTAAGGATGTGAAAGAATTAGAACCCTCATGCATTGCTGGTGTGAATGTAAAATGGTGCAGCTGGAGTGGGAAACAGTGTGGTGGTTCTTCAAAGAATTAAAGCAATTCCACTTACGTGTATATACCCAAAAGAATTCAAAGTAGGGACTCACATACTTGTGTACCAACATTCATAGCACCATGATTCACAATACCCAATAGTATCCACAATCCAAATGTTCATCAGGATATGAACAAAATATCGTACATATGTACAGTGGAATATTATTCAGTCTTAAAAAAGAATCGAATTCTGATATATGCTACAACATGGATGAATCTTGAAATATTATCCTAAGCGAAATAAATCATGCAAAAGAACAAATATTGCATGATTCTACCTATATTAGGTACTTAGGATAAGCAAATTCATAGAGAAAAAATAGAGGTTACCAGGGGGTGGGGGGAGGAGGAACAAGGAGTTATTATTTAATGAGTACAGAGTTTCTGTTTGAGATGATGAAAAAATTCTGGTGGATAATGGTGATGGGTTGTACAACACTGTAAAAGTACTTAATGCCACTGAATTGTATACCTAAAAATGGTTAAAATGGCAAGTTGCAGGTTATATATTTTATCACAATACAAACAAAATTTTAAAAAGATCAAGATCCTGAATTCTTTTCTAAACCTGCTCCTGTCTTATCCATACCCCCTTTAAAATGAGTGAATGATCCCATCTTTCCAGTGGTTCAGGCCAAAACCCCCACAATCAACCCACTGAGAAATCCTGTTAACTCTACCTTCAAAGGATGTCCAATACCTCACCATTTCCTAAGACCTCTATAGCTACTCCCTGATCCAAGCCATCATAATGTTTCCTTGGATTACTACAATAATCTAATTGGTCTGTTTCTGCCCTTAACCTCTTTCTTTTCTATTTTTAACACAGCAGTCAGAACTATTTAAAAAAATATATCAGATCATGTCACTCCTCTGCTTAAAACTCTCCAGTGGCTTTTCATCTCATTCAGAATAAAAGCCTAAATCCTCACCGTGACCTTCAGGTCCCTAGACAATCTGGCCCCCCATTTTCTTTCATTTTTTTTTTTTTAATTTTTAATGTTTATTTATTTCTGAGAGAGACAGAGTGTGAGCAGGGGAGGGGCAGAGAGAGAGGGAGACAGAATCCAAAGCACACTCCAGGCTCCGAGCTGTCAGCACAGAGCCAGACATGAGGCTTGAACTCACAGACCGCAAGATGCTGACCTGACCTGAGCTGAAGCTGGACGCTTAACCGACTAAGCCACCCAGGTGCCCGTGGCCCATTTTCTGACACCTTTTTC